GATGCGCCTCCTGTGTGTGGGGCTGTGCCCCTCAAAGCAGCGGCAGGTGCAGGAGGTGAATGGGCAGGGGGCTGGGGAGGAGAGCAGCAGTGAGGAGATCCCCACGCAGCCTCTGTCCCCAGTCATGCCCACTGGGCTCTGGAGGCCTCAGGGGAGGGAAGCAGGGCTGGAGTCCAAGACCGCAGCCTATGCCTGCCTTGCAAAGAGATCTGGGAGGCGTGGGTCTACCTGCCCTCCGGGAGTGCACTTAGCAGTGGAAAACTGGCCCTCCCCTTCCTCCTGCCCCAGACGAACCACCCATGGCTCTGTCCTGCTCCCTGCTGGCGCCCTGCAGCCATGCATTGTAGCCCCGGGCCCCAAGCCCCACTTGGCTGGGCAGCAGCCTCAGCCCTGCCCAGCTCCCTCTTCCCTCCACCCCTTCCCTTTTACCTGTTGAAGCTACTCTCCAGGCTGCCTGGGGCCATGTGCATGTCCATGCACTAGTGCTGCCTTCCTCCCAGCTCCCTGCAGGCTGGAACTCTGCCAGCCTGCAGGGAGCTTATTGCAAAATCTGCGTGTTTCTCTTGTAAAACAAGAAATGCGGGAGCAGGGACTCCCTATGCCTGACGAAGGGTTACTATGCCCAAAAGCTTGCTAAGAACTTTTTCCCAACTACTCAGTCTAATAAAAAATATCACATCTAACCAAAAAACCATGCCAGACTTAGAAAGGTTATGCACTTATTCAAGTTTGATGTACACAATGCTTATTTATGACATAATAGCCTCAGTGCTATTGTGTTAGTAGCCCTGGAACTGACTAGCACATTTGATTTTTTGAGGCCAGTATCAGCCTTTTCATGGTTGATTCCTCCTCTTTGTTTGTTTCAGTTGAGCAGATGACAGTTATTTAAAAAGTAGACAGTTACAATTGGTATGCAATTAACTCAAGTACACTTAAATTATAGAGCATACAGTAAGGCTGAAAGATGTTTTGCATGTAACTACATGTGCCTATGTTCTAAGCCAGGGCAGTCCTCAACTAGTAAGCCTCTGGGGTCTGTACCAGGTGAGCTGCAGGCTACTGGGATGCATGCCATGCAGATACTCCCCCACTGCTGTTCCACACAAGCATCCCTCATGCTGCTTAAGTAGGTGCCCCCCCTGCTGCTGCTCTACTTAGGTGTGATCTCCCCTCTCCCCCATAACCCCCATTTTCTCCTGTGCTTGACTCAGACTCTAGGGCAGAAGTGGACAAAAAAATAGGTTCACTAACTGATTGGATCAGGCCCACAGGTGGGCACCCATAAGTTAATTGTATCTGGCCCGGCCAGTGGCTGTCCCTGCTGCACTTCTCATGTGGCCAAGTCCTGCTCGCTTCCAGCTGGGGCAGTGTGTGCTGTGGTCCCAGCATCCCTGCTGGAGGGCCCCAGCCCTGGCCAGTGGGCACAGCTTCCAGGCAGGGCTTCTGTTGCCACTGGTGCAGCCAACCAGGGAACTGCTGAGCTCCCCTGGCCTCCAAGTGACTCCACCAGTCCCTGCTGCAGCACTACAAGCAGCAGGTAGGGAGGGGAAGCTGCAGTGTTGAGGGGAGCAGGGTGGGGACAGGCTCTGCCTGCAACTCACTTTGGTTCTGCTCCTGCATGGCTGGGTTGGGGGAGTGTGTGGATGGAGGGGGGAACATGAAGAAGCTTGGCTGCACATAAAGCCCTGCTGGGGAGGTGTGGGACAGGCAGGTGGGGTGAGAACAGCAGCAGCACTTCTGGAGTAAAGGGGAGGGACTAATGGTGGCAAAGGTCAGGGGGTTAGGGGTAGGACTTCTGGTCCCAGGATGGGGACCAGGGGCCAGAGCACCTGTCAAAGGGCAGGGCTACCCTTGTGGCCCTCGACAGTTCATCAAAGCTCATTAGGTAGCCCTCCAGTTGATGTAATTGCCCACCCCTCTAGGGATGTGCAAAGTTTTGGTAGCTGATTCGATTCGGAGAAGATTCGGCCTAATTCGGGGACTGAACCTCTGAATCTGAATTAAATCAGGAGGCCAGGTAAAAGCTCTGAATCAATTCAAAGCATCTGAATAGATTTGGAAAAAGTTTTGGCCGATTCGGAGATTTGATCATAGATTAAACAGGTAGGTGGCAGCTGCCTCCAGCTGGTAAGTCTGGGGTTGGGGGAGGGAAAGGGTGTGGGGGAGAGAGGGTTTGGGGCTGGGACAAGCTGCCTAGCCAAAGTGAGGCGGGGGCGTGTTACTCAGAGAGGGGAAACGGGGGTGTGCATGATGCAGGCAAGGTAGTGCTGGGAGCGGGGGTTCTGCCTGCTGCTGCTTGCCCAGCCAGGGCGGGATGCAGGCGCGGCTTGCTCCAGGTGGAAGGGGGCAAGCAGCAGCAGGGCATAGCCCCCACTTGCAGCGCTGCCGTGCCACATATTCCACCCCCCTCCCCCTTGTGCCGGCTGGGCAAGTGGCAGCAGGGCATAGCCCTGGTGGCTCCCCACACTGGGGCAGAGTCGGGCACAGCTGGGGTAGCCATGGGAGAAGCCCCCCCTGGCTGCCCTGCATGGCAGCTGCCCCATGGTGTGGGTGCAGCGCAACTTGGCAGGGCACTGCATGCTGTCTGGGAACTGGGGCGGCTCCAGCAGTCAGCCAGGGCCTGGCAGCATGCGGCACCTTGCCGAGCTGCGGTGCACACACACCATGGGGCATCTTTCATGCAGGTACCAAGTGCAGGGGGGGGATTCCCAATGCCCCGCGCTGCACGGGGGTGCTCTGCAACAAGCACCCAGAGGCCCCAAATTGCTGCTCCTGCCGCTGGTGAGTACAGGGCTTTTTTTTTTCCCTAAGTGCTGGGACTAGGCGGGGGATGGGGCTGGGCAGGGCAGGCATTGGGGCTTCTCCCGTGGCTCCCCTCCCACCCTGTGGAGAGGCAGGCACAGCCGGAGCAGCCCTGGGACAACCTGCAGCCACCCACCTGTCTGCCTCTCCCCAGCCGATCCGAATCAGCGCTGAATCTTCTGAAGCCGATTTGGCCAAATCAATTCAGGACAGTGATCCGAATCTCTGAATCGAATCCCTGTCCTCCGAATCGGCCAAATCCAAATCGAATACTTATCTATTTGCACAGGCCTAGACCCCTGCTCTTGAAGGCGGACAGGAAGCATTAGTTGGGGGAGGAAGGGGGAGCCCAGAGACTCCTAAAGAATTGACAGCTGAGTGAGAGCCCCGAGGGCTGCAATTTAAATCCTTGTGAGCCTCCTGCGGCCCATGCACACCAGTTGAACAGCTTTGATTTAAGCAATAGAGGAAAATTAGGACTAGCATTTTGTTCTGCAGTTAAATTAATTATATGTACATCAGGTAAGTGTGTAAGTAGACTATACCTGAATGACTGCTTTTGTGGAGCTGGTGCTTAGGAGAAAAGGAGAAGAGTTGTCAGAAGTAGTATCGCAGCTTGAAACTGAAAAAAGAAAAAAGGCTAGTAAAATAAAGCCGGCATAGCTTATCTAACATTCGCAAAGAATTCTATTTTTGCATGAAATCATAATGTAAAAAGTGATCATATCTGTGTTGCTAATAATAGCTGTCTTACTAAATAGAAATTTAAATATCAACATCACTTTTTTGAACTACTTTATACATCTTTAAATGTTATTTGTTATTTGATAAGATAGTTAGAGTCTCCCAAAGTATAAAGACAGATAGTTATCTTCCATGCTCTTTTAACCCAAGTTGGTGTCTGCAGAAGTCTTATGTTCTTTTCTTATTTTAGTCTGTGACAGTTCCTTTGTTTCTTGATCTCAGCATAATAATTCACTCTTTCCTCAGAACTCTGCAAAATACAGATTTTGCTATTTTCTGCTCATCTTTGCATTTTATATTTTTAATTTATTTCATACTAGGTTTTAAGTGTTAACTCGGAGAGCTTGCACTTTCCTTCAGTATTCAAAAATGCTTTTAAAAATTTCTTGTTTGGAGGCTGGAGAAGATTCTTTTTTAACGAATTTCCACCAAGCTTCTAAGTAAGTATCTCTCTTTCTCTCTCTCTCTTTCAGTCTCCCCTGTGAAACACTGACTTTGGTTTGGATAGGGATGATCCTGCCTCAGACAAGGGATTGTTGGAGTAGATGACCTATGAAGGGCCCTTCCAGCCCTTCTCTCTGATTCTATGGTAAGACTTTCATTACTAAAATTTCCCAAACTTTTTGAAACCTGTCAGTGAGTTAAAAGGGTATCACTTCTTTCTGGCTTTTGCAGTTGTAATTCTTGTACCCACAAGAGAATGATTAGGACCACTCTGCACATGACGGGTATTGCACAATTATCTGGTTAATTGCACAGTTACCTTTAAGACCTGCTATATATGCAACATACTTATCATACCATAAAAAAGCTCTAGCCAACTTCAAAGATAGACCTCCAAAATGTGTACTAACTTTATAGCTGGTTGCTATTGAGCTTTAATGTGCACATGTAGCACATGTCTCCTCTGACAGGGCTCCTAGCTGCAGCTGACTGGGCTTCCTGCCACAGTGGGGCACAGTGTCCAGTGTGAAACCACTGGGCCATGGGGATTGCGGCTGCTGTAATCCCTCAGCTCCAGGGTGTGTGGGATGCCCCCACAGCTGGGAGCCCCTCAACTGAGGTGGCTCCCAGTTGCAGAAGCTTACTTCTTGCCAGTGCCAGGAGAATGCAGATTGCACATTCAATCCCATCACCTCTTTACCTGCACGTGAGAGGGGGCCTAAGTGTTTCAATTGCAGGAACTGGAAAAACGGGATTTTGATGTCACCTGCAGTATGTTGCAGGTTCTAAATATGTTTTCTTTGAATAACTGTCTAAAAAGATATTGGTACGTTCCTACATATTAAAGCTTCCTAATATATTACTACAATTAAATTCTGCATTATTATGTGTAGGTGCTAAAGGTGATAGATACAAGCTTAGCTTCTTATGTGTTATCTCAGGTTTTCATTTTTGTTTTCATACAGGGGTGATTTATATGTAGAATTTGATCTAGAAGATTTCTTTTCCATGGTAATATATTAAGTTTGACTGGACAGTATATTTGCTCTTTTTACCCAGTGCTTACTGTGAATCGGTGTTATCTAGTACACCAGTGGTTACAAAGCTCTGATAGATTGCGCACCACCAATTTACAACGATATAACCTTAAGTACCATCAGCAAATTTGTTGTATAAAGTAACAATAAATCTGTTAACACATACCATTGACAGGTTGTCTGCATACCACTGGTGATGTCCATGCCACAGATTGGGAACCATTGCAGTACAACACATTTCTAAATGGATGGCTTAACAGTGACCTTTAATGTTTGGAATAATCAATCCTCTCTTTTGTTGAAGTCTTGCAGTATGGGATTTTTTTATCCATTTTCTTATTTTCTTAAATAAATTTATCATAGTCTGCCAGTCACCTAAAATATTTGTTGGCACTATAATAAGTATAGTTTGGAATAGAAAATTAAAATGAATATTCCAGCTCAAATTAAGTGCTGCGATTCTGTCTAGCCACGAGGTTAGTTACCAATCATTTTAACCAGTTTTCAATATCTGTTTTGATTCTTTCAGTGAAAGGAGTATAATTGCAGCTGTACAAGTCCTGCCATTTTTTATTCACATTGACCCAAAAGTATTTTAATGAAGTAGTTACTTGTTAATATTTATAATTCTTATCTTTTTATCCTTTTTAATATATGCTAATAGTTTATCACGTTTGTTTCTTTTTTCATAATATAGCTGTTTTGTATAGCAAAGTGTTCTTCCAGCCATTTCAGTTTGTAACAAATCTAACTTGTTTTAGCTTCTATTAATTTTTTTACATGCTTTCTGTGATTGATTTACTGGTCTGATTTAATATTTTTACCACAATGCTCAAATTTTGCATTTCCTGTCTTCTAATGTTTCTCAAGTGAGACTACTTATTAGGTTGCCTCTCATTACCTCGAAAGCATCCCATAAAATATTCTTTAAAAAAAATGTTTAATTTGTGTTACAGTGAAATATAGCTCAATTTTCTCTTTAATTGGCCAGGAAAGATTCCGAACTTATAGAAGTGGGATATTTGCTTTCTAAGTTTCATTTTGAGTGTAGTCTCCCAACTTCTAATAAGTAACTGTACTGTTCCATTGCCAGACTAGACCATTCCACCTTCTTTTGCTGATTTAATGTTGTTAAATAATGATTTGGAAGACAGGATTATATCTGTGTTTATGTGCACTCCTGTATATAGTTAATGTGGTGTTGAATAAACAGATCTTTCTTTTGGATTTGAACATCTCCAGGAGTCATAAAATTAATGATTTTTCTACTAATAATCGTAGTGCTGTCTTATTTTCTATAGTTTGTTATACGTCTATCAGACCTGACTGCTTTTGAGTCCATAACCCAGTTAGTCTCCTCCCAAAAGAACATTTCTCTCTGTTTAAATTTTTCTAAAGTTTGACATAGCTTGGTGAAGAACGACCTCTAGTCCTAATTTGGTATGGTGTCTCATAGAGTGCCTTCCAATGGGTGTGTGTTTGTGCCAGTGCGGCTTTGTTTGGTCTCTGAGAGTATCTTTTAGCCAGCACTGCCATGGCTTCTAGAACAAGACAGGAACCTGAGTTCCTTCCCATGCTGGGACCCCAGCTCTTCATCCCTTGCTATCTCTGATTCTCTGTGGTACTGACTCAGAGCTAGCATCCAATTCTGATCCTGAGAGAGGAACTACACCTCCATTTACGGCAACCCAATGGAACCTAAAGTTCCAAGTAGCACAGCAGACAGTCTTTTTGGTAAAGGCATTTATTGGGGCAAAGGCCAGCCAGCCAGCCAGAGGCTCTCCGTCTGCCTCCAAAGGGATTAAGTAGTCCCTCTGTCCTCAATCCATCCCACACAATTCTGAGAACCCCCAAAGATACTCAATGGTTCCCTTTCCAGTCTCTCCAGCTCCCTATAGTTTCTCCACTGCTTTCAGTCCCTAGACTCTTTTGGCCATGAGCTGTCAACCCCCTGTTTTCCAGCCTGCTGTACTGTTGTCATGGTCATCTCCCCTTCATACCTCAAACGACCAAAATGATCAGTGTCCTGGAATAGTTGCCATATCAGGAAAGACTAAAAAGGTTAAGGACTGTTCAGCTTGAACAGGGACCTGCCATTCACTTGGTCCTAGAATACTAGAATAGGGGGCACCTGCTGAAATTAGTAGGTGATAGGTGATAGATTTAAATCTAACAAGTGAGAGTACTTTTTATGTAGTGCGTAGTTAACTTGTGGAATTCATTGCCACAGGAGGTGGTGGAGGCAAATGGCATAACCAATTTTAAAAAAGAGACTGGATAAATTCATAAGTGATAGATCTATTAATGGCTATTAAACAGAATGGTTGGAGATGTTGCCTGTAGCATCTCTATACTAACCATGGTGGATGCCAGAGAAGGTATTGAATAGGGGGATAGGTCACTCTAGAGATTTCTCCCTTTATAGCATCCATTTCTGCCACCTTCAGAGACGGGCCTATCTGTTACATTGAAGCTATTGTCGGCCCAGGCCCACCAAAAAAAACCCCCAACCCCTATACCTTCCTTAAAAATGGAGGTCACTAGGAATGTAACAGCTAATTGCTTAGGATAAATAAAAAGAAAATGGGGAAGGGAATAAGGGCCATAGGTAAATAACAAAGTATCTAGAAGGGGACATGGAGCAGAGCACACTGGCCAGTGAATTGAGAGAGCCTGTGAAACTACCCAGAGATGTGAGTGGAGGAATGACTGGAAGATGGCTCCACCCTTGCTCAGGTTCTCCCTGGCCAGAACTTTCTTCCTGGTCTGGTTAGGTGGAGAGCTTGGCCAGACCAGGAGGAGGTTGACCCAGGGGTCCCATGACTTGGTAGGGCCATGGATGGGACTGCATAAAAGAAAAGGTGTGGGGAGTAGTGCAGCCAGAGCCTCAGCAAGATGCTCTAGAGGAGGCAGAAAAGGGGCTACATCCCAGGCTAGATGGGCCCAGTATAGCATGTATGTTCTAACTATATTCCTCTTTTTAAGGTGGGTTTCTTGGAGAAAGCCAAAATCTGGTACATCATCTTTGATGGCTTGTAGCACCTTCCTCTGTTTATTACACTTGTTAAGATCATTTAATATTCATGGTGTAAAATTTCAGTTTATTAGGCATTACAATAATAGGCTTCTCCCTGTTGAATTGGTGTCTGTGTATTTGTAGTAGGCTAACATTTTATTTTCTGTAACCTAGTTGCATTCCCCTCCTCACCCCCATCCCTCTTACGTTAGTCCCTTGCTCAGGTACTCTGTATTTCCCTTATGGCTTTGTCATTTTTATTTCATGACTTAACATTTTCTAATAAAATTAAATATTTTCTTGATTAGTTTGTGCTTTCTCATTGCTGCATTTGAGTGGCTCTCCGCTAATTCACACACAACAATTAAAATATACCAGCTGCTGCCTTTTTTGAAAAGGGTGAAGTTTTCAAAGGGCTCCAAGCCTTCTTGTATCTATAGCCCTCTGAGTTTTTTAAATCTGCTCAGTACTCTGACTACTTGTACTTCCTATGTAAATATGAGCTTAAAGGGATAGCTTCCTTTATTTTATTTTTGCTTCTCTGAGACAGGAACTGAAAGAGATTAAAACATATCTTCTTTAGTGAAGTATGATATGTCTTGGAAAATCTGTGTTGCATTAGCCCGGTTCAACTTCAGAGAGCTCTAGATGTTATAACCTTTTCTTTTGGCTCAAAGTAATGCATTCATAGAATTACATCTTTAGGCCTAGGAACAGAAGTTGTGCCTGCATTTGTCCTGGAAAAGAAATGTCCCAGGATAAGTATGTACACACAACACCATTTCAGTTGGGAATATTCATGAATGGCTGAATACTGGCTTTTCTGCCATTAATTCAATGATGCAATCCCAGGACAACCACACAGATGGACTTGGCAGTGCTCCAAGATAAACTGTTAGTAATTCTTATCCCATGAACCTTTTTAGCATTTACCTTGAGACGGTGGACATTGGATATCTGAATGACTGCACTTTGTCCTGGGATAATATGGTTTATTCCAAGATAAATACAACATCTGTTTACAGGTCTGTTTCTGGGGCGAGCTCACGCAGTGAGTGCTGCCCCCATCCTGCCCCCCTAAGCAGCGAGTGCAGGCCCCTGCATGTATGGGCAGGCATGCAGCTCCCTGCTGTGAAGGACTGCCCCCTTCCCCTGCTGAAGGGCCAGGTGCCTTCCCTCCCCCTGTCCTGCCACACCTGCACACATACACCCCAGTTCTCTGGACAGTCCCCTGGACCTCCAACCCCCGCTCCCCATACACTTGCCTGTGTCCAGCAGCCCATGACCTGGTCTCACTGTATGCTGGACACATGAGTCTGCACCTGCAAATGGATGTGTGCCTGTTGCCTCCAATTGTCCCAAGCAGCCCTTTGCAGGCTGGAACACTGCCAGCCTGCAAAGGGAAACGCATGCTTTCGCGTGTTTTTTCTGGGACTCACTCACGACCTTTGCAAATATTCTTGCAACCCACTGGTTGAGAAACACTGAACAAGATGACCTCCAGAGGTTCCTTTAAGCCCTACTTCTCTATGATTCTATAAAGAGTATATTCAGACCCTAGTGGAGCTCCTAGCTCATCTCATAATCTGTTTATGTGTCTGTACTCCAAAACGATGCTCTGCATCTCTGTCCTGATCCAGAAAGTAGTAAGGAGAGAAGCTTAGCTCCTTTTTGATACCAGGATTACCATGTTCTTTAAAGGTCTGGTTTGTAAAGTGAAGTATTTTTAAAACACTTGATCTATTTTATAAATAAATATTTTTTAATTTTTTAATTGCAATAGAATGTTTTTGTCAGCATTAATGTTGACTATTCTGGTTTTTTATTTAGCTGGAGGAATGGAGCCAGTTATCAAGTGATACCTGTTGTGAATCCCTTCTTCCAGCACAGACACACATGACATCCTTCCCTTTTCCATAATGCTGTGGTGATGAATTCTTCTATGAATGCAGCCAGCAAAGGAGTTTCCGCAGGGATTGCCAATAGGTTCTTCAATTGCATTGCATCCTGGCTGCTGTTGAATGCAGTGGTGGTGTTTTCACTGTACATCATTGTGGTGTGTTGTTTTTTTTTTTTCTTTTAAATTCCTTAGACAAAAGGGTATTTATTTGATTCATAACAATTAATATGATGGAGGGAGGTCTTATTATCTGAACATTGTTTGTTTGAAACTAGCTTAATAAAAATAATTGTTCTTTTGTCAAACTAAAATGATTGCATATGACTTTATTCTCTTTTGTAATATGTAAGGAGTAAAAATATTCAACAGGGGTTTTTTTTGTTTATTTGTTTTGGGTTTTTTGTAGAAATATAACGGAGTTTGTTTCCTATTGGAAATAGGTTTGTACTAGTTTGGAAAACTATGGCAAATGTAATTTTCAAAATAAGCTTGACAGTTGATTAAATATGATTCCTTTGTGACCTCCATTCCAAAGTCTTTTGACTTTGTATGGGAAATGATTGGTTTGTTGAGTAAAGCATATAATGTGTATGGTCTAGTTGAGTTGTTTTTTCTTTTGTCATTCTTCCTTGTCAGTATATTAGAGAGAGAGGAATATTTGAATTCTGAGCTACTTCCCTTTTATATTGTGAGTATAGCCAAGAAATTTCATGCTAGAGTATATTGTCTACAGAGTTTCTGGGATTCCTTTTTTTAAACCATGGCAGTCTTTTTCCCTTTATGAAAACGCGCATTTTATTGTTGTCTGTTAGATAAGTAAATATAGATAATATTAGATCAGTTTGGGGGTCAGTTGCATCTTTGGTGGCTGGATCTCTGGCAGCTTTAGTGTTTTAACTTTCAGATTATTTTTCTGTCTTTTCAGGTTTCTGGATGTCAGCCTCTGAAAAGAAATGAAGTTGTAAGAGGTATGCTTCATATAGCCAAAACTGTTTGACAGATGCTATAGGGAAGAAGGCCATTCATTCCTTCAGCAGGTGTCCATTTGCCTGTCCTTTTACTCAAGTCCCAGAAAATAAGCGGGATATGAATAGAACTTCTACTGAACCAAAGAGCTCATGATTTCTAAGCAGTGTTTCTGTGATCTACACTGAAAAATAGTGCTGTACTTAACTAGAGATTATTTGGAAAACTTCTGTTCAGAGAGGCATCTACAGCAGACTTATTGTTACCTTGACAATATTCAGTTTACTGTAAGAGGTCTCAAACAAACTGCTTAACTTTCTGTTTGGCATTAATGCTGAGAGAGCGCAACATCATGGGAAGCCCATGGTGACAGTAAATACTACCTAACCCCCCACTCCTTCCATGAAGGGTTTTCTTTCTATAGAATGGATATAGCATAGTATGCTTCAAGTACCCTTGGTAGTTGCTCAACTGGAATATTTTTTGGGTTATTGACACAAAAGCAGTGGGATGGTCTTAAAGATCTGGCTGTTATGGAATATCATAATCAGTGTTGTCTCCAACTCTCTTGGTTATTGGCAATTTTTATATCAAAACAGTAACTATGGCTTTAGGGAACTGGCATCACTGGCTGCATAATCTATTGTGAAAGTCTTCCAGTACTCGCATTACTATCCCCATCACTGGAGGTGTTTTAAGAAGAGATTGGATTGCACTGGTCAGGGATGATTTAGGAATAGTATGTCTATGCTCTGCTCTGGATATTTCCCATGCTTTTGGGCTTTGCATTCTAGGAATTCTGGGAATTTTTCCCCCTTTTGTTACTGTGTGTGCTGTGGGGGAGGGGAGGTTTGCTGCCTTGGAAACATTGGGGGTTGGCTGCAGCGAGGGCTGAAGATTTTGAGTGAGGTGTGCCAGTACTCCTGCTGGAACTTGGAACCAGAGGTTCCTGGCTTAGTGGGTCTTACCTCTCTGCTGAATGTCAGACAGATTGACATATTTGGGGTCACGAAGGAATTTACTGGGGGTGCACTGATTAAAGATTTTTTTGGACCGATACCAATGGCTGATTATTAGGTATCATCCAATATGGCTGGTTATCTGATTGTCGATTATGCAACCCAGTGGCTTGGAGAGCAGCGTCCAGCCAGTAGTGTGGGGTCAGATCAAGGTCCCCATGGTGAGGGAGGGAGTGTGGCTGGAACGGAGGTGGGGCAGTGCTGCCCAGCCGGAGTGGGGGTCCAGGATGGAGGGAGGGCTATAGGGTAGGCTATAGCCGCCCCACCCCTTCCAGCCCCCCCCTACTGGGAAGAGTCGGGTGCTGCCCCGGCCCTGAGCACACAGTGTGCAGCCAACCCTTGCCTTGTGCACACATCCCCCCATGCCTCCTCTGGGAGTGTATGCAGTGGTGGGAAGCCACCCTCCTCCCTACCCCACCGCAGGCCCTGGACAAGCTGCCTGTGGCTCTCTCGCTCGCTGCCCTGGCTGCCCCAGCCCCGCTCCCTCCCTCACCTTGGGGCCCTCGATCTGTCCCCACAACACCCCTTCCCCCCCCCCAACTTACTGGCCAGATGCTGCTCTCCAAGCTGCCTGGCTGCATTCCTGGGCACATGTATGCTGTGGCTGTGCACATGCATGCGGCATTTATTGGTGACATTATTGGCCACATGGGGCAAAAATGCACATTGTCGATAATATCAGTTTTCCTATTTTCAGTGGTGATAAGATATATGGACTAGTATATTGGTGCACCTCCAATATTTACCCCAGGGTCAGATTGGTACAGACTGGAAAGTTTTTTGTTTTTTTTTTTCCCTTCCTATGTAGCAGGGGGTATGTGGCCCATTTCCTTGTTCCCTTAAGTGTATTTTTAACAACCCTTATAACAGTAGCACATTGGCTGCTGTTGTTACCCTGCTTTATCTGTGGCACATTAGGGTACTGTCTTGTGGTTGGGTCGGGGTTGATTATGTAGCTTTAGTAATAAGTTGGACAGTGGATTTGTACAGGTTGATTTGGATAAGGATGATCCTGTCTCTGGCAGAAGGTTGGACTTGGTGACCTTTGGGGGTGTCCTTCCCAGTCCTACTTTTCTGTGATTCTATGAAAGACTGATTCACCAGAGTTTTGTTCCACTAAGGCTTGTGTTCAGATCCCCAGTTTCCTATATATATTTTTCTTATGTCCAGTCTAAGTCAGCTTTCTAGAAGTTTGCGGCTGTTAGGTTTTGTTATCCCTTGGGGAGCCCTGGTGAACAACTGTTCTCCCAGATCCTGGTGCCACCCCCCTACATACTTATAGGCTGCCACCAAGTCCCCCCTGAGCCTTCTTTTCTCCAGGTTAAAGAGTCCCGTGCTGCTATTCTTTTGAAGCTTTCTCATTTACCAAGTGTGTTTATGCTGAATGTAATTGATCCAAGTTGATTTCTACTTGCATATGGCTGAACATTTTTTAAGATTTTTCCTGCTAATCAGTGAAGTTGGAGAGAAGCCAATATGAAATAAATTGTTCACATGTGCTGCCAGAATAAGCCAATGTGCAAGTCATTGTTTGATTTGTGGCTGCTTGGTGGGGGTAAACTCTTTTAATTTTAGTTTTGTAGTGTCAGGTAACTGACATAGTGCTTGGAGTCTGAGTTTAAGGTTCTTTTTTTATATGCACAGAAAAAGTACCAAGACCCTTACCTGACATGCTTTTGTGAGAACAGGAATACAAGACCAGGTGGGACTCACTGGGTGCATTTACACATGTGCTATAATGTGTTATCACACCAGTGATGTGATGTTTAAACCAGTGTGTTTCTGGTTTGAGGTGGTCTACCCATATCCAAAAAATCATGTTGCTAATCTGGCAAGTAGTGTGGGTAGCCGCTGTTTTGGAATCCAAGATGGCTACCATGAATTCATGTTTTGGTCAATATTTCAGTCACCACTAGCATTAGAAAATTAACTCCAGAGACAAAAAGATGTTCATATCATTTTTATTGTGGTAGCTATTTCCAAGATTGCTGACATTAGCATACGTGTATTGACTCAATATAACTTTAAAAAAACAACCTAGTAAACACTACTCTATTACTAAAACCTCACAAATTTATATTACTACAAATTTCATAGCAAGCCTACAGTACTGAAAATATTATAACTCAGGCTAGCCTATTTGTTTGAGTTGCATTGAATAATATAATACAATTTTAAAAAAAATTCATAATCTGGACCAGTCCAATATTACTAATGCACAACTCGGTGGCAATGAAACACAGAGACCTATGTTTAGCTCAAAGCAGTAGAAAAATGTAATAGTCTAATCCAATAGTAATACAACAGTATATATAACATATTAAAACAATGGGTAATTGCAGTTTTTCAGATCTCTTCATCATTTGAATCCATTTCTGAATACCTGTAGTTATTATACGGATTGCAACATATTGTCTCATAGCACTCTCAGCTGGGAGAGCCTGGCACATTAACCTGCTTGCACAAGCATGCTGGTCCCTAGCATTCCATCTTGCAGTTGCAACTTGTTATCCGAATGTGTTCTGCTGGTAATAGTTCAAGCATGTTTGATAGGAACATAACCATCGTTTTCAGCTTGCCAACCACACTGGTTAGATGATAACAATAGTAGATTAGGTTTAAATGCACTTTGTGAAATGAGACTTTGGTAATTGGCCCTATGTATATAGTGCACAGGGGAGTCGTATGTAGGCAGAAGTTTATCTAGAGCTTTTTCTTGGTGGAATATTTTTACCCTACCTTCAAGAAAGGTTGTCAGAGATGTTTATGGCTGATACTACAACACAACAAACTTTTCTACTCAACTGTACAAATCCTTGTCAACATAAGGCCTACTTCTTAGACTTGCCAGTAGATGTGAATGCTGAATGAAAACTCTTAGTCTGACCACTGAACAGATTTTATTTTATTTTATTTTATTTTTTATTTTTTTATTTTTTTAGCATGACCGCTGAACTGGCTGGTGGTGTCCATAACCAGTGTGGAATCCAATTAGAGATGCATGGAGTGGCTCAGGCAATTCTGACACAATATTATGAAGTAGAATGAATCTTACTGGGTTGCTTCTCTTCATCTAAACCTTAGGTGCAAGATTATGCCATAGAAGGACCAATACGACTGAGTCATTGCAGGAAAATACTAGAGGCATATCCCTGATGACTGCATGTTTGCCCTTAATAGCATTCTTGTGTCAACCTTTTTGCTGCAAATGCAGCTGCAAAATGTCACATGAGCTTTTCCATCAGTGAAACCACCAACAATGGGCACTTGTTCACTTTGGAAACATTAGTGTGATTCCTTAACAAGTTCCTCATTTAGAAAATTAACTAGGCTTTCTTTGTTTCCTTGAAAGGATTTGAAACTACACTGTAGTGTGGCTAATGGAAGCAATCCGCTGCTAATGATTCTGCGGATTGTCTAGTATTCTGAGTCCTTAATATTCTTGTGCCTGTCTTTATGGTTAGTGATATGTATTGATCAAAGACATTGTTGACTCAATCGCATGTGTTGGAATAGTTGGCAACTGCTTGTTGCACAAAGGAATCGGCCAAATGTCCAAATGTTTGTGCAGTTTTTGGCTTTCCTGTTCTCTGTACAAGAGTCCATGGTGTCAATAATAGCAGCTGATTTCTTGGAAGTAGCATCTGGCAGAACAGTTCCTGCTTTATCCCCAGTCAGGATCTGTGACAAGGTTGCTTTGTCGGCCACATTGAGCAATTTGGTGCATTTAAAAAGTGACTGAGGGTATCCAGACAGTTCATGCTGTATGCAAGAGTGCACATTGAACCTGATACCTGCTGCAACCACTTCAAGAAACCTTTGTTGCATCTCCTTTGCTTTCTGTGTCTCTTCCATTTTGTTGGGCTGTCCCATAGCTGACTTTACATCCTTGAAGGTTTTCAATTTTGATTTGGGTATGTTTGCATAGAAGTTCTCAGTAGCATCTGCAGTAAGACGTTTCTGGATAATGGTGTTCATGACTT